CTTCAGACCGGAAATCAGTCCATTTGTTATCGGGGCAATATCAGCTAATGAATATGAAAACACTGCAAAGATCCTGAGGGAATTCTATCGCAAGCTGCACCTCTGCAATGCTGCAGGAATGAGGCCTCATGGCAGTTGAAATTCTGATGGAGCTCCCTGGAGGAGAAATGCACGCTGACAGGTCCGGGACGATCTGTTGCCGGACCTTTATGGTCAGAGGGATGGGTGCCAAGGGCAGACCTCCCTATTTGTTTCAAAACTCAATTCCGAAAATGGATGGAAACTGCACATTTAGGTGCCCCTTTCCGTTGTTTCATCTTGGACTTCCAGGATTGGGCAATGTGACACCTACAAAAAGAGTTTGCCCTTGAATTTAAAGACGTAACACATGTTTGCTACATCCAACTGCTTGCCCAATCCCGCAGCTTTGACTGCCAAAAGTAAGTGCAGCCTGGTGGCAAAGCGACCCGATTTTGCCAGATTTCCATTGGCACAATGTGATACAGTGAGAAGGCTGCCTTAGGCCTTAGGCCTTTGCAAACTGCCGGCGGAACTGCAAATACAGCTCCTGCACCAACATTGATTCGATGATCTTGTTTCTGCTTGGCTTCTGCCATCTTCAGCCATTTCTCTGGTCGGCACTCCACGGCCATTAAGTCATAACCTGCAGGTCGACGAGCGATGCTGGCCAGTGTTGGTATTGACAACGGCTCGCAGCGTTGCAACTTCCTGAGGAGAGTCTTGTAAAGATACTGGTAGCACTGCATTAAAAGTTGCACTCTTCTTTGTATTTTGAATGGGGTTGCAAACTCTTGAAACAACCACAGTTCAGCGGTGTAGTTCAGGGTGACATCTCACATTTGTAGGAATTTGAAGGTTCCCATGTCTTCAAGTAACGTCAACTTGGCCTTGGCGGCGTGTTTGTAGTGCAACCTGGCTTTTTATTTCAACCTTGGGAAAAGAGCAAAGTGACTGAATCCTAATTTGATAATTGTATATAATTGTCCCATAACTTTCCCATAATCTTCCCGTAACTTGGGTCGCCAAGCTGAACGTTGCCAAACAAGTACCTTGTCACATCAACGTCAAAGTCGCGTGGCCAGCTGCCAGGCTGGGAGATGCTGAGGTGGAGGCTCAGTTGGCTGGGGGCTGACTTACTGTGCTGTGTTCAAGTTGTAGTTTGCGTGTTTCCGCAAAGGATCTCGAAATTCAGTAGTCGAACTAAAAGCTTGCAGGAAAACGGAAGAATTCTTTTTTGAGAACAATTGAACAATATTTGAACAGTATCAATGAATATCCTATTGTATCAATGTCCCATAAACATCCATAAACGAGCAACAGCCAATGGGCTTCGACTCCGTTTCGGCTGAGGAAGCTCTTGGCTCTCCCTTGCGTCACGCAGATGTGCAGCTGAGTCCGGGGACTGAGTTGGGAGCCAGCTACACGATGCCACGATGGCGGACACTTTTGGACCTGTTTATTGTGGGAGGGGCAAGACCTACTGTTACCATTTGTTACCATATTTTTGGGATGAACATCCATTTACCTGTGTTGATGTTTGGGGTAGTATTGACCCATGGCTATATTTCAGGATCCATTCAATGAAGCAGCCACGGAATCTTGGTTCGACAAAGGTGGACACCAGAGGCTATCAAGGTAGGACTTGTCCCGTCTGCGTTTCTGAGCATTTGGCAGGTCAGGCCTCGGCAATCAAAAATCTTGCCATGATTGATTGCCAGACATTAACAATCCCTGCAGAACCTAGCGTTCGCCCAACATGACATACTGTAACTTTCACCACAATTCTCACATCTCTCTCATCAACTTCAACACAGGGTACAAATAACATAACAACATAACATGGTATAAATCTTCCACCCCCTCAAACACTATATGTAGAAAGGCATATTAATGGATTTGATATGTAAAATGACATAAATACAGGTTATAAACCTGCCACCCCTAAAACAATATAAGAAAGGTATAATAATGGGTTCACTCTGTGAAATAATATAATATACGTAAATGGTCTAAATCTGCCACCCCGTGAAACAATATGTAGAAGGGTATCGGGTATAAGAATGGGTTTACTTTGTAAACCCATTATAAATCAAGGGTCTAAATTTGCAACCCCTTAAAACAATATGTAGAAAGTTATGATAATGAATTCACTATGTAAAACGCAACGTTTCCGGTTTCCCTGTAACTCTCAACCCTTCGCAGACTTTGTCGGGATCTGTTGAAAAAGAAAGTCATTTTGTGCAACAGGCGTGGGCTCCGGGCAAACATCCGGTTCCGTGCGTAACAATCAGTGCACCTATACGAACCTACAGTACGGCGGGGGAGTTTTGCATATCGACCATGCCAAGGATCTGATCGGCGTGTAGTCTTGGAGGCAGTGAAACAGGCAAGAACTCAGGGTTTCAGCACTGTATCACGAATATAACATATGAGTGTAAAAATGGGGTACCTCATTCCATCCACTAGTTTCAAACCAAAATTTGAGACACCATATGCTCAAATCTCCCAAGGTGCCACGCATTGACTCTGCCACAACCCATGCTGTTGAGGATGGCTCAGCCCTTTTTTTCGTGGTGTGGACCTCAATGCATCGGTTCGGTTTACTTCTGCTGGAGGTCCCATGTCATGAGAATCTCTCCACAGTTCCTGCAATGTTTGCTACTTCTGTTCGCCACAGTATGTTCTTTTGAGTTGTGTAGCAACGCATGGCTGTTTTTTCTCGTTTGCGACGTTTGGTTGTGTTAGCTGCTGTTTGAGAAAGGGCTGCAAGATTAAATAATGTTGATAATTAAAACATATACATTATATATATATAATAGTCATATAGTAAACATTCTTATATTGTCTTATATTTTTTTACATCTAAGTACGAGTAATGAGGAGTGTAGGGTTGGATCTCTGCAAGCCCCCTTTCTGACAGGATGATGCCTTGAAAGATGAGCGAGCTCTGGTGCAGCAGGCGATGCAACGGCCGGGTGTGTGACGTGGATGACGTGGATGACGTGGATCAGATGGGTGTTGAAACCTGTTGAAACCTGTGCATTTGCAAACCGTTTGCAAACGAACGCGGCGGGAAGATGAGTTGAATTTAGGCATAAGCAAACTCAATCTCGATTCAATTATGAAGATTTGAGCACGCTTGGTTTCATTCAAGCAGTATCTCATTTTCTGGTCCCTTGGCTTCAAACATTTTTTCACCTGACAAAACGAAGAAGCAGAGACAACTCATTAAAGTATATGGCAGATGGTGACTCATGGTTTGACAACTTCTCCTTCTCTTGCAACGTAACATGCTTCGCCATGCGCCGCGGTAGCTGCGCGGGCCTTGTTGCAATCAGCGTTTGTAGCGACTTGTTTTGAAATGATCCTGCTGGTGGATGAGGGATGGAGGCAAGATCTGGGGATGGGACAAACCCTGTGATAGCATATTAAGGGGATGGATGGACAATGACATGGACATGTATATAATTGTATATATTTAAATTTAAAATCTATTTTGATGTTTAGTGAGGTACCAAGGTTTTGATCCATAGTCAACTAGTGGTGGAAGAACCGGGATCTAGTGATGGGTGAGGGGATGCATAGATTGGTGAGAGGCGCACTCTGCAAGGTCTGGGGTGCCTTACATGGCCCACACTGACTTCATGCGCTGCAAAAGCCCCAGGGTTCTGGACAGGACCCAGAGCAAGCTGTCGAGCATCGTTCATTGCAAAAGTGTCGGGTGTTTGCAATCATGCTTTTTAAAGAATCGCTTTCTTGCTGCGGTTGAAGTAAACACTAAAGAAAAAAACAATTCTTGTCATATCCTCGTGTCCAGGTTGGATGCTTTGGTGACAGTCACACTGAGGCAACAGCGTCGGGCATCGGTGTAACCTACACTGAATGGCAATGATTTGTCACCTCTTTCCTCTTTCCATGTTTCTCCACCATGGAGATCGTTGCCGAATCATTGCCATGCATTGTGTGGCAGGGCATCTATGGTGCTCCCTGGGTGGACGAGCTTCAACGACGTCTACGGAGAGAATGCGTGAACTTCCGCCGGTGACGTGGTCTGCACTGGTTGGCCAGAACAACTGCGATGATGGCTTTTGTTTGGCATGGTTTGGCATTGTTGATGCTTGTGGTCATGGTGACTATGAAAAGATGGTATGATACTCCCATGATCAAAATTTTGGGTTCTACCCCATGTCATCCCCAAACTAAATACAAACATCTATGTAACCACAGTCGGTCTGAATTTGGTACGTCGCAAGCTTGAGATGCTGTCATCAAATTTGCCAGACCTCCGCACCATGTCAGCCGGTCAGCCCAGGAATGCCTGGACCTGCAAGTCGGTGCAGCGCCGAGCGGCTCAAGCCCCCATTTTGGATGAGGTGCTACTCTACCCCACTGATCCCTACTGATCCCTACTGATAATTGATGAAGCTGAACATGAAAATGAATGGTTTAGGGCGGCTGTGGCTACGCAGGTTGTTCTGGTCATTTCTTGCACCAGTGCTCCACTACTTTTTCCGGTCTTTAAGATGATAGTATTGCGTATTGAAGACTGAGCAAGACTGCCGTGTGTGCAAGCTGCGAAACTAAGCCTTTAGCAGCTTTAGCACGTCTCTTTCCACTAGCTAGTGGAAATCATACTGGTTTTGAGGGACTCTCGGGCTTCCTCGCCAGTTTGTCAATCTCTGTCACTTGCGTTTGGCTCCTAGTCCTCCTAGTCCCTGAAAATCTCCAAAGCGGGAAGTTCTACTGACCACTCAGATTGTTGAGTCCACGTCTCCCCTTTTTCTTGGCAATAAATTCCCGGCGCCATAGTGTGACATCCCACAATGCCAGAACCAGATTTCAATTGCAGGCAGTTGTTTTGGCCGGCACCAACGACGCCATGATGGAACTTGCGGCTCGGGCTGGAAACACAGGCACACCGAGCAATTGACAGAGAGCCGAGTGAAAATGCTTCATGGTTTTGAAAACCCACCACAGAGCATGCACATAAGGAAATAGTTGTCAGATGTTGTCAGTCAGCCATTTATTTTCCGCAGTCTCATTGTTCCGTGGTCTGTCGTTTTTCTTCTTTGAGAAGGATCTGTCGTTCTCATTAGGGGCAGCACAAATTATAGAGGCATTGTGTGTTTTACAACCACTGGCGTGGGGCGAACCTGGGAGATACCTGAAGCCGGCAGAGGCATGCTCAGTGTCTACCGGGGCTTGACACTTGGTCACACAGGGCACCATCTTGCATCATATTGCACCATTAATATCACCCTGGGATTCTTTGTTTGGTCCACAGGAATCAGCTCCCAGCTGAGTACGTGCCGTCCATTGAAAGCTTTGCAACATCCTTCAAGGAGCTGCCACTGGGCTTTGGTCAACTCCATGTCAGATCACGACCTGTGTCAACCGAAGTGTAACATCAAATAGGCAGACACATGCAGACACTGAGATATACTTCCACTGACAGAGTCAACACCAAGTAAAGTGCCTTGAAATTAGATGTTATATAAACATAAGTATAAACATATACAAACATTTTTTTGTGGTTGTACTTCGTGTTTCCAACGTTGGACACACGTCTCTTTAAACCCACAAAGTTTAACCTGGAGGAGTCGGACACCGAGGTTGTCCTCTGTTCGTGCAGAGAAGGTAGCAGTCCTCAGCCTGCCACCTCTGGGAGAATCCGATGGTCGCGCAGCTGAGCTGCTGTCCCTCTACAATCAGTGACCTGGAGCAGTGGGGGCTTGGGTTTACCTTTCATTCAAGGCTTTGTCTAAAAATAAGGTACCTCAAATATCTTCAAATCTCATTGTTCAGGATTTTCCCAGTGAACATCATTGAACATCCATTTTGATCATTTTGGTGGATATATCATGATCCCGCTGTCCCCCTTTGGCAAACCCCACCTCCGTGTGCCCAGGGAGATTTGTCGCCTGGTTGAGGAGGATGAGCGTGCCATCTATGTGCCTTTTGGAGAGGCCTTAGAGAAGAGAAGTGGTGAAGGCTGCGCATGGGTTGGCCCTGAGAAGTTGGGATAGTTGTATTTTACCCTTTAATTTTGGGAATGCCAGATACCGGGAGACCCCAAAATGTGTCTGAAAATGGGGTATACTCCCCCAGTAACAATTCTGATGGGAAATGAGATTTTGGGGCAGCCTATTTCAGACAAATCCATAGGGACCGTACAAGACTATACTATAATGGTGTCGGTTGAATGACCAGTTTTTGAAGTTTTCACGAGTCGGCCAGATTTCGATGCTTCCTCCCCGGCATTCTCCCAGACTATTGCGCAGATGCCTGCGCCTCAAAACTCTCGAAGGATGTCACCCTTCCACTTTGTCAAGTGGTTGGAAGAAAACAGACATGTTTTTTTGGACGTCCAGATTTTTTTCAGGGGAGCATTGGCATAAGGCACAAGTTCATGCACAGCCTACATGTCACCCACATCAAGGTCCAAGCTGACTCTTTTTGGTGTTTGCAGTTGTTGCTTCAGAAAAAATATGACAGATTCATCGCACAGAAACACAGGACATTCTGCTATAATACAATTCTCTTGTACAATCGGAGTGACAAAACACGGTAAAGATCCCATGTTTAGTGCAAGCTAATCAATCACACCCACACGAAACCCCATGCAAATTAGGATGTTTTTGTTCAGTCGCAGGCCAAGAAAGGCAGTCTGAAGACTGCACGTGCAGATACAACCACATTTTAGCATCAACGTTCAAAAGACGCAGCCATTTACATATTTTTTTGAATTCTGCTTTTAGGAGTTTTGGTATTTGTGTTTTAAGCATCCATGGACTTCTGCTGCGGTACTCGCAAACCCGAGGTTTGCACATACGGCCTTGAGACGATTGCCTTTTGGTCCCTCTTTTGACACATTGGGCAGTTTCTATGGCAGAGAGGTGGCCTCAGCTTTCGACATTTGGGGTGTCCAAATTTGGACCTGGTCTCCCTATGCTGTCGTTGCAAAATTACCACCCTGGCTGGACAAGTGAATCTTCCCTGTGCATTGCCACTGAAATTCTGATGGTTTTATTTTGGTGATTGTTGTATAGGGTTGGCAATCTCCGTTTCTTTGTTACAGGCTGTGCACGACAAGATCCACCTTACTGAGAAACTTGGAGCTGAAATGGGGCGCGCATTTTTTTCCCCATATGTCCACTAGCACTGCATTGTCACACGCTCAATCTGAACTTAGCGTTTGCCTGGACATGGAGTCAAACTCGAGGTGGAAATACTTGTAGAAAAAATGCGAGAAAGCGATGATGCTCCCGAGCATCATTGCTTCAGACATTCCAATTTCTGGATTGCCCTGTATCGCTTTAGATGCTTTAGCAGTGCCGGTCTGAACCCGAACAACCATGTCGTATCATGTCGTCAATGGTGTGAGTTGTCAGAGTTGTCACACAGGAAAAGTGCCAGAATCCTTGTGGATCTGCTGGTCGAAGTGTTGGAACCTGAGCTCTAGGCGGGCAGGCGGGGCCTCAGGGCCTTGGGGTCAACGCCAAAGATTGCCGAACGTGACAGCTTTGTTGAGGCAATACGGTGATCAAGTGAGCCGAGTCACATGCTATCCTGTGCGGATGGCTGCGCACCAAAAAAGAGCCAGAGCTGCCACCACACCAGTCGACTTCAAATCAGATGGACAGTGACTGGGGCAGTTCCAAAAAAGATGAATGCCCTAAACCTAGTGGTATCCACCAACACTACATCAACATATTCACTGGTGCTTTTATTTCATGGTCCATTTTGGCCACGACACCAGCAGACGAACTCGCAGAGGCGCTACGTCGCAGTGGCTGGGCGTTGCGCTTTGCCAGTGAGCGGCTTAAGAAGGACCGCAGCCTTGTTTTGGAGGCGCCATGTGGGATGAGAGCCCCAAAATGCGAGGCATCCAGACTGGGAGGCTTACCATCTCCCCACTGAAATTCTCTGAGATCATTTGGGGGTTGAAATTGGGTACACCTAAAAATTGGGTGGTGCTATAATGCAAAGATACCAAAATCTGCTGTCCGGAAAATTTGAAGCACGTCACCAGGCCATCCAGAGCGAGGGAGTGGCTATTCGATTTGCTGCAGAGGTGCGGCCTCGAAGATGGGGAGTAAGGCCATTTGGCCTCCAAAAGATACAGCCAACTTGACGTAGGAACTTGACCGGTGTATGTATTCATGGTGATTTTGATGCTTCAATTTCAAGAGATCCCACTCTTGCCATAACTCATGCTGAACCATTTTGTGGCAACTTGGATGAGACTGCGTACCTATTTCATCCTATTTCTTATATAGGTCAGCCACCAAAAACATTGACCAATGAGCCAATCCAATCACAATTCTTTGAACGTTTTCGCGCTTCCCACTCTCAATGCTCATGATAGAAAAATGATTGAATTCACAGTACAAAAATCATTCCATGAGCGACCGGCACAATGATTCTTAAAACTTCCGCTATAAAACCTTATAGGGGAACCACAGTTCTAACGCATGGCAGGGATGTTTGAATGCCCGACGCGAAGGAGCTTCGACAGAACCACTCCTTTGTTTGCGAGGCGATGTCAAGGCAGCGCCGCTGAGATATCGCCAGGAGTTGTAAGTCCAGTTGACATGGTAAATCAAACAGTAAACTTAGTAAACCTACCAATTGGGAATTGTTTCATCCTCATTTATATCTGGCAACATTGAGATTGATCATTGTAGGGCTTCGCACACCAGCGATGCCCCAAGGGATGTTGTTGTTGCGCAGAATGTCGCCCGCTTGCTCTGTTGTTGTTGTTGTTGGTGGTGGTGGTGGTGTTGTTGGTGGTGTTGTTGTTGTTGGTGTTGGTTGTTGGTGGTGATGGTGGTGGTGGTGGTGGTGGTGGTGCGATTGGTGGTGTTGCTTCTGTGCATCTTGCAACCATACTAACGGCTACACGGCTACACAGCTTTTTTCTCATTCTTTTAGTGGTCAAAAACGCCAAATAAGAGGTGTTTTCATGTTCTTGGAGACTCTCGGAGCAAAAAACACAGCAAATGCCGGTGTTTTTGACGCCTCGGAAGCCCAAAACCACGGTATTAGTGTTTACCATGTCTCTTGCCACCGGTAGTAAACACCACGGTTTTTACAGCGTCTTGCCTAGAAAAACACGGGTTTACGCAGTTTTCAGATGTTTTCAGCATGTTGCAAGAAGTATTTTTTCCGTGCAAAAGGCACAAAACCAGTGCGCCAAAAAATCAGAAACATCCACCAAAAAAATGCCCAAAATCGACCTTCCAGACCCTACTTGGCAAAAAGCCCCGTTTTAACGTTTTAACCCGTGTTGCGGGACTTTTGACCGCCCAAGAGTCTTCTTAAAGAGAGCTTATACAGAGAGATCTCTTACAGAGAACTTGCCAAGAGACCTCTTAGAGAGATCTTGTGCATAGAGATCTCTTTCAGAGATCTTGCCAAGACCTCTTAGAGATAGCTTTTAGAAATCTCTTATGGACTTGACAAGAGACCTGTTATAGAGAGCTTCTGCAAAGATATCTTACAGAGATCTTGCCAAGAGACCTCTTAGAGAGATCTTGTGCATAGAGATCTCTTTCAGAGATCTTGCCAAGACCTCTTAGAGATAGCTTTTAGAAATCTCTTATGGACTTGACAAGAGACCTCTTATAGAGAGCGTCTGCAGAGATATCTTACAGAGATCTTGCCAAGAGACCTCTTAGAGAGATCTTGTGCATAGAGATCTCTTTCAGAGATCTTGCCAAGACCTCTTAGAGATAGCTTTTAGAAATCTCTTATGGACTTGACAAGAGACCTCTTATAGAGAGCTTCTGCAGAGATCTCTTACAGAGAACTTGCCAAGAGACCTCTTAGAGAGATCTTGTGCATAGAGATCTCTTTCAGAGATCTTGCCAAGACCTCTTAGAGATAGCTTTTAGAAATCTCTTATGGACTTGACAAGAGACCTCTTATAGAGAGCTTCTGCAGAGATATCTTACAGAGAACTTGCCAAGAGACCTCTTAGAGAGATCTTGTGCATAGAGATCTCTTTCAGAGATCTTGCCAAGAGATCTCTTGCAGAGATCTTGCTAAGAGATCTCTTGCAGAGATCCTGCATGGAGATTTAGAGATCTTTTTCAGCTTTTACGGAGCTCTCCTACAGCGATCTTGCCAAGAAACCTCTTTTATAGAGACCTTGTGAGAGGTCTCTTCTGAAGATCTCTTAGAGAGATCTTGGCTCAGAGAGAATTTGTACAGAGATCTTACTTTAGGGATCTCTTATACAGAGAGCTGGCCTGGAGATCTATTCCAGAACATTTCATGTCACAGTACATCCGAAAATGTATGTTGTATTATCTGGTCAGGACCAGTCGAAGTATAGGATGGTGAGGGCCCAATGCCAGCGGCCTGTCGTGCCTAACGACGCTGTTTGGAACTTCAAGAAACAAGCTCCAGATGGACCCAATATAGGCAACTTGCTTGGGAAACTTTGGCAAACGGAACTTGTACAGGGCCAACGGTGAAGGGCGGCTGCGGTCAGCGGCCTGTTGTGCCGCACGTCGCTTTCTGGAACGTGGTAGCTTGCTTGGAGAACTTTGGCAAGTGGAAATTGTTGGAGGGCTAAAACACCATGGCAGTGAAGGATGGACGGGGTTCAATGGCAGTGAGTGGGCCCACCTGCCACCTGCCAGTCAACCTGATACTCCTTAACGGTGCGGCAAGAAACTACCTCCTTGTTACTCCCCTCACGCCTCCAAACGCTGCCTTCTAGTGAAGGGTGGATCGTGCCTTGGGCATGCAGCCATCATGCGGCTGGCACTTCGCAAGGATGCTTTCTGAAGCGATAAGAACGTAGCTCCAAATAACACGCGTTCCCTCCGCCACACCAAACAGCATGGCCATGAAGGAGGGATCATGTCCGCGGCTTGCCTCCTTCCATTGTCTCGGTTTCATCACCCATCTCTTCTGCCTGTGGGGATTGTCGCCTTTTTTTATTTCGAGGAGTTGGCCCTGCTCAGCCGCTCCTTGCATGGGGAACTGGTGAGTCAAATGTGCAGGAATGGTGATGCTCTTCGTTATGCCTGGACCCCAGAAACCTGCACAAGGAAGGCAAAAATTGTGTTAGAGTTGCAGTTGCTTCACCCTCAGGTGGATGACGAATTTCACAGTGATCCAAAGGTGGGGGATGACATTTTTGGACAGTCACGGGTGGGCAGGACTTTTACCTGCAGCAGTTTGATAATGCTTCAGAGACAAATCGCACATGCTCCATCTGGAGAGGGATTTGTGTCTCTTCCAAACTTGCTGTAGTTGAGGGGGAGCAGCAAGAATGATCATGCGTTCTAGAGCACGGACAAAGGCACACTGCTCTACAGACATCCACAAACAGATATGTCGATAGACGGAAAGATCAACACATACTGTCAATAGATAGAAAGATTTTACAGATACATGTATCGAAAGACACCAAAGCGATCCAAAACGTGTCTTTGCATCAAAGAATCATCCGTGGATAGATTTATCATAAGACCAAGAAGCCAGCCAGCTGAATGTATCAGTGGGCAGAAGGACAGACAAATGAAGAGACAGATGAATATGTAATGTATACACATGCACACATAGATGATATAGACACTCCACATACACATGCGTATATCTGTATACATGCATGCACACACTTACGCAGATGCATATATCCACCCACATGTATATATATATATATACATGCAATATATCTATATACGGGCATATATTGAATAACACACACACAGAGTAGATATTGATTTATGTACCCCACACATACACGCACACATACACACACACTCACATACGTGTATATATATATATAATTATATACATACATATGTATATTATGCACATCTGTACAACATATATCGTATAGTTATACACACACGTATGCACATACGCATACAATCGCATACATATAATATGGATACCTACATACACGCACGCACGCACGCACACACACACATATATATAACAAAATAAGATATAATATAATATAGTATTACATAATATAGTAATATATCATACAACATAATATAAAACGGGCTAGCGCCTGGGTGCCGCCGACCCCTCCTTCTTTGGGACACAACGCTATTATGTGGTCATGCTTAGAGTTTCCAATATGTTTGTCCCGCTTGCCAAAAGTCTGTGAGGAGCAGTATACGCACGGGCCAAGTAGATCACCGACGCGCATGCGGTAACCGTTTCCAGGTGTGGGATGCGCAGGTCGTTGCGAAAGGGTATGTGTATATTTGCCCTGCTTGCAAAGGGAATGTGCCTAGTGACGTGAAGACAGGGCAAATAAACCATCGAACGGTCTGTGGGAACCAGTTTTCTGTCAAGGACGGCGTTGTGCAGGAAAAAGCGTATGTTTACATTTGCCCCGCTTGCAAAGGGAATGTTGCCAGTGACGTCAAGACAGGGCGAATAGACCATCGAAGGGTCTGTGGGAAGCAGTTTTCTGTGAAGAACGGCGTTGTGACGGAAAAAGCGTATGTTTACGTTTGCCCCGCTTGCAAAGGAAATGTGGCCAGTGACGTGAAGACAGGGCAAATAAACCATGGAACGGTCTGTGGGAACCAGTTTTCTGTCAAGGACGGCGTTGTGAAGGAGAAAGCGTATGTTTACATTTGCCCCGCTTGCAAAGGGAATGTGGCCAGTGACGTGAAGACAGGGCAAATAGACCATCGAAGGGTCTGTGGGAAGCAGTTTTCTGTGAAGAACGGCGTTGTGACGGAAAAAGCGTATGTTTACGTTTGCCCCGCTTGCAAAGGAAATGTGGCCAGTGACGTGAAGACAGGGCAAATAGACCATCGAACGGTCTGTGGGAAGCAGTTTTCTGTCAAGGACGGGGTTGTGAAAGAGAAAGGTGGTAAACGGCAAGCTTGAACGCCGAGAAAAGGCTATTGATTTGGCTTTGGGGTATCGTTTGCATTGTGCAAAGGCTGGCAAACGGCAACCTTGGACGCCTAAGAGAATTGATTTGGCCTTGGACCCCCATGACGGGTTGTAAGGGTTTTAAGCGTTTGGAGGGTTTTTAAGGGTTTTAAGCGTTTAAGGGCTGGCAAACGGCAGGCTTGGACGCCCATAAGAAGACATTGATGTGTGGCCTTGGAGTGCCTGTTGGCTGCAGGATGAAGCATGCCAAGGTTCCCTTGTGTTTAAGGCCTGGCAAACGGCAGGCTTGGACCCCCCATGACGGGCTGTAAGGGTTTTAAGGGTTTTAAGCGTTTGGAGGGTTTTTAAGCGTTTAAGGGCTGGCAAACGGCAGGCTTGGACGCCCATAAGAAGACATTGATGTGTGGCCTTGGAGTGCCTGTTGGCTGCAGGATGAAGCATGCCAAGGTTCCCTTGTGTTTAAGGCCTGGCAAACGGCAGGCTTGGACCCCCCATGACGGGTTGTAAGGGTTTTAAGGGTTTTAAGCGTTTGGAGGGTTTTTAAGCGTTTAAGGGCTGGCAAACGGCAGGCTTGGACGCCCATAAGAAGACATTGATGTGTGGCCTTGGGGTGCCTGTTGGCTGCAAGATGAAGCATGCCAAGGGAATGTTTAAGGCCTGGCAAAAGGCAGGCTGCGACGCCCATAAGAAGCCATTGATGTGTAGCCTTGCGGGCCTGGCAAACGGCGGGCTTGGACCCCCATGACGGGTTGTAATAAGGGTTTTAAGCGTTTGGAGGGTTTTTAAGCGTTTTAAGCGTTTAAGGGCTGGCAAACGGCAGGCTTGGACGCCTATAAGAAGACATTGATGTGTGGCCTTGGAGTGCCTGTTGGCTGCAGGATGAAGCATGCCAAGGTTCCCTTGTGTTTAAGGCCTGGCAAACGGCAGGCTTGGACCCCCCATGACGGGTTGTAAGGGTTTTAGGGTTTTAAGCGTTTGGAGGGTTTTTAAGCGTTTAAGGGCTGGCAAACGGCAGGCTTGGACGCCCATAAGAAGACATTGATGTGTGGCCTTGGAGTGCCTGTTGGCTGCAGGATGAAGCATGCCAAGGTTCCCTTGTGTTTAAGGCCTGGCAAACGGCAGGCTTGGACCCCCCATGACGGGTTGTAAGGGTTTTAAGGGTTTTAAGCGTTTGGAGGGTTTTTAAGCGTTTAAGGGCTGGCAAACGGCAGGCTTGGACGCCCATAAGAAGACATTTGTGGTGGCCTTGGGGTGCCTGTTGGCTGCAGGATGAAGCATGCCAAGGGAATGTTTAAGCGATGGCTTTTAAGGGCTGGCAAGTGGCCTTGGAAAGCTAAGAAGGAGAAGTTCCACACCTGCGGTGGTCCCAGGCGCCGCCCCTGCCTTGGCCAAGGCCGGGGTCGGCGGATAATACAATATAGATTGATTAATATAATATAATATTCGAAGGAAGTTTAGAAGTCAAACTTCCGACAATATGGACAGATGGAAAAGCAGAGGTGGGAAGAGTCAGAGAAGAGAAGAGAAGAGAAGAAGAGAGAAGATCAGAGAAGAGAAAGAGTCAGAAGAAAGAAGATGCAGGTGCGCGAAAAGGTAGGAAAGTCGCGAGACATTGTGTTTTTCGAATAACTTGTGGCTCCGGAGGGTCGAAAAGTAGGCTCGCTAAAGCGGCGGGTGCGGAGCCATCTGGCCAGATGAGAGATGAAAAGTTGCACGCCGTTGTGGCTCGAAGCACATTTCGAAGTCAAAGCATACAAAGCAAGTTGAGATGCTGAAAAAGTGCACGCCCTTGTGGCACGAAGCACATTTGCAAGTCAACCAAAAGTGTTAAAAACTGACGGTCTCGGAGCACTTTTGGAAGTTGACATGTCGAAAAAGTGCACGCCGTTGTGGCGCGAAGGGCGCTTCGAAGTCAAAATGTTACAAGCACCACATGTACGGACCACTTTTGGACGTTCGGGCGTCGTTTCGCGTGGCAGGCGCAAGGGATTGTGCACCTGGTCAAAAGTGAGCAAAACCTGAGGGGTTTGTAGCATTTCCAAAAACGATGGCAGGCATTGGACATTTGAAGAGGATCTGGGTGCGTTTCGTCTGGCAGGCGCAAGACAAGAGACATGTTCATCAGAGATGTCAGGAGGTCTGGGCGCTGATTTCCTGAGAGGGGTTGCATTTTGGAGCATCAGATCTTCAGTTTTGGGAACATGATTTTGCGTGACAGGTGCAGCACTTCGTATGACCTGGCCTCACTTTTTCGTGGCAGGCGCAGTACTTTAGACAGGTAGAGTGGAAAAATTGCAAAACGCATTGGTACGAGGCCATCAGCTCTGCACTCAACTTTCCATTTTCGAAGGGCGTCTCGCAGAATTGTTTCGTTTTTGATGTTGTCAATTTCCAAAATTGAGGAAGTCTCGCAGAATTGTTTCGTTCTTGATGTTGTCAAGTTCAAAATTGAGGAAGTCTCGCAGACTTGTTTCGTTTTTGACGTTGTCAAGTTCAAAAGTTGAGGAGGTCTCGCAGAATAGCTTCGTTTTCAAATTTGCAGATAGACAGATAGATAGATAGATAGATATAGATAGATAGATAGATAGAGAGAGAGAGAGATAGATAGATAGATAGATAGATAGATAGATAGATAGATATAGATAGAGAGATAGATAGACAGATAGATAGACACAGAGATAGATAGATAGATAGGCAGACAGACAGACAGACAGATAGATAAACCGAAAAACACATAGATAAGCAGATATATAGATAGACAGATAGATAGACAACTGCAACTGCACTACACCACACTACAACTACAACTTTAACTACAACTACACTACAATTACAACTACAAGAACTACAGCTACAACCATAACTACGACTTCAACTACAACTACAACCTCAACCGCGATTACTACAACTACAACTACAATTACAAGTGCCACGGCAACTACAACCACAACTACAACTGCAACAACTACTACAACTACACTACAACTGCAACTGCAACTACAGCTGCAACTACAACTGCAACGTCAACTCCATTACAGCTACATTTCAACTTCAACTTCAACTTCAAATACACTACTACAACATCAATTACCACGACACTACACTACAACTACAGCTACAACTGCAAGTACAACTACAACCACAACTACAACTACACTACAGCTACAGTTACAACGACAACTGCAACTCCTACAACGATTGCAACTACTACAACTACTACAATTTAGACAATTACAACTTCAACAGTGCTTCAATTGCACTTCAACTACACTACAACTACGTACAACTACAGCTACAGCTACACTACACTACAACTACAGCTACAACATTACAACTTCAACAACATCAACCCCACGACAATTACAACTACAACTACAGCTACTGCGCTGCACCACACTACATGCAGGAATTGTGAGTGAGGTGACCACTGCAACCATTGCAACCACTCCGAAAAGCGCAACTCCAACCACCTTTCGGTCCATCAGTGGATTCCCAGTGGATTCGCTCTGCCATCCATGCATCACAACAACTCCTCCGCTATAGCGCCCTATCCTTGAAACTTCCGCCACCGCCTTGTGTGGTACTACTGGAATATAACACAATATAACTACTATAGTATAATATAATATAGTATAATTTAATTTAATTTAATTGAGTTTAATATACACATGCAGTATTATATGCACAGCCAGAAGAATATTTAATAGTAGCCCGTGTCGAATTTCTGAAGCACCAAAGAAACCTGTGTTCTTGTACCTGACCTGGCGGGCAGGTGGTGCGCAGTGCAGTGCGGCAAAATGGCATGGCCTTGCGTTTTGCTGTGCGGCAACTCAGTCAGACCTTCGTGGGCTGCAAGCATCAGCAGCGACATCAAGGTACCAGAAATGACCTGTTTGTTGATGGCTGTTTGAATGAGAATGCTCAACAATGTCCAACTACTGATATAAGACGATGAATCTAGTGCCAGGTACCCTGCAGATGCCTTGCACCGCAGTTTGTCTTGCACTGGGTTTCCCCAGGTTCCAGAGTTGCGAGCAGATCTGAACATAGTGACAGAGGTGGGGGCATAGCCTGGGATGCTGCACAGATATGATGGCAATGCATTGATTTCAAGGATCATCTCATTTCAGGAAAAAATGGAGTGGCGAGATCTTGCAACGATAATGCCATCACAGATTGTACCTGAGGCGACCAAGAACACGCCCAAAGCTTTTGCTTTTGCCTGCGGACCTTTGAAATGGGACCGTGCGCCCGGTTTCCCAACAGTGAAGGGGCTGAATTTGAGGAGTCCGCAAGCCAGGATTTTTTTCTTGAATAGGTCCGGAAGAACCCCGAGTTTCAGCTTGCAAGCATGAAGATCCTGAAAAAGATAACCACTCTCTCCAAACTGTAAGGACAAATGTTTAAGGGGGTGCATATTCTGTTGTGAAAATTACCGATGAACCAAAACTGTTATTTCACTATATATATATATAAATAAATGAACCATGTCCTTTTTTGCGGCTTCTAGGCTGGTGCTCGAGATGTTGCAGCTGGATGGTTCCCTGCTGCAGCACCTGCCGCAGGAGTTGCGTTGTGATCGGGTTGTGCAGCCCAGGGCACGGGCGCAGCGGCTGGGTTCACTTCAGGTACCACATAAAAACACCAATCAATTCACCGCAGAAGTGGCAAGTCTTGTGATTTGCGAGAGATTGAGAAGACATCTAATTATGTATGTTTTTGTACTGTATAGTGTATACCTATCTGTCTCTACATAATTAATGAGCAACACTACGACAAGACGTGAAGTGGCAGAGGCAGGTTTTCGCCCCGCGCTTGAAAATTCCACAGCTGTGATCCTGCTCTTTTTGACACTAAGGATGTGGTGACCACGGCTGTGCAACAGCATGGCCGTGCCATATTGCTTGGAGTCCAGCTAGTTCGGCTTAAGGGAAAATCTACTGGAAACCATGGTTTTTAGCCCCAAGTCTAGAGGTTTCCTGTCGATTTCCCCTTAGACCAATTCTGGGACAGTGGCGAGTTTGGATGGATCCAAATTTGATCTCTATATATTTGGCGCAGAGCTGCAGAATGCCACCAAAGTTTTGCCGTTTCTATACAGGTTGCACATAAAAATCGATTTTAAACATGGGTCGTTTTTCAAGATTTGGGGAAACTGACACTTTTTCCAAGACTTTGAGATTTGCTGCGCTACTGAGGTGGGCTTCCGGCTCCCTGAAACAAGATGTTTCGGTGGCTGTGGAGGCCGTGAAGCAAGATGGTACCGCCTTGCAAGTGGTCTCGGAGGTGTGCAGCGACGGGAGCGTAGTTTCAGCATTTTTGGCACTTTTAGAGGTGGCATTCCAGGTTCTTCCAGAAAAAACAACTCTTGCAACTGAATCCTGAAGGATCATTGGCAACTTTTATTTCCTGGCGACCCCCAACCACATGACTTAAAAGGCGGCAAGGAAAAGGTATAGATATCCAGCATGCTCATTGCAAGATCGTGACGTCTATCTTGCATTGGTTGTTGGAAGGCCAGATGGATCAGATGCGAGACTGTCTGATAAGCATTGAGCTCCTATCAATCTGAGCTTGAAGAATAGAAACTCGGGCATGACACGTGACCCGAAGAGATGGCAGCCTCGCTAGGTGTTGAAATCCTTCCGGAACATTGCGCTGGAGGTGGGGTTGTGGGGTTGTGGCATGGGCGTGGGAAGACCATGCGGATCGATCAGCATATTAAACGACTTAAATTTAAACTATTTTGGTGATTTTTGGTGTATAGTACGTAGCAAGCTTGAAAAAGATAGGAAAGCATTTCGAGCATAGCAGGCTGTTTTCCTCATAATTTACCGTTTTCAAAGTTTCTCTCTTTTTTATTGTTTTTTTTTCTCGTCTTCAGTTTTATGTGAGTTGGGAGAGGCTGTACGTCAGAACAGTGATGCGTGGCAGTTTGTGGACAAGTGCGGCGACCCAGGGATCCTGGGGCAGCTCCGAGCCATAATGGTACACCACATATGGATTGATATATCCATTAGGTTGTATCTCCCCCCCTCTCTCTCTCTCTCTCCCTCTTTATATAGATATATATATATACTGTTACATGGGAGCTTATTATACTGCACCCCTTCTCATGAGGATGCACCCCCTGAAAAACAGCATGGGTCCACCTGGTCCAATGGCCGGGCCGTGATGGGCTGTGCCGCGAAGGCACCTGCGTGGAGACGTGGATTTTGCCATTGCTGTGGTGCAGAACAACCCAGAGGCGCCGTTGAGCTGGATTAAGTTCGAAGTGCGAACTTCCTTCAGAGCATGGCTGGCGGGGAAATCCACGAACTAAATGGAGGTTTTTATGGATAGTCATCGAAGTACATAAATGGGAGATTGTCCATTGCAAGGTTTGATTATCAGAGGGTAACAATTCACCATAGTTACACTGTTTAAAGTTTAGAATAGTTAAGACTCTGTGCAGTTGCTGTCCATCTGAACTTTAAATGGTGGGATGTGCCACTTTGGCAGGTGGCAGAAGTGGCGGCAGAAGAACTGGAGGTTGGAGCACCACTCTCTGGCTTCGTAGCATTGAAGGGTGTAGACATCATAAATGCTGAAGCGAGGCCATTTTCAGATTTGTATTCAGATGTATTCGGCAGGGGTTGGGTTTGCAGCTGGCAGGTGCCAGTGAAATGCTTGGTGGCCGTTGCCGACCAGGCAGGGAAGTGAGTTGGAAGTCAGGGGGTGCAGTGGGTGCACAGAAAGGGGGAATGTGACTGTGATATTTGTCACAGCAAACTCAATCCTTTCATTGCTAAATGATGCTGAATGAATAACAGCGAATCCTGGTGACTCTGGAGCCTAAACGTTCAGCCCTTTTTGGTACAGTACCTCTTGTGACTCTTGTGGATTCCTGTCTCGAATTTGGTGGATGGTTCAGGCTGGTTCCTCATAAAGCCGAAAGTACGCTAGTCGTAGGGTCGGTCGCCACGCTAACACAGCAGGCAGACCTGCGCTTTGACAAGGAGGCTATGCTGAAAATGATCCGGGAAAGCCGGGAACGCAGTCAGGAATGGTTTGTGATACCGTGTACACAGACTGCGCATAGAAGGTTTCTGTATTTTTATGAATCTGTTTCCCTGTCTGCAGCCTATACTTGACTGTTTCGTCCGTTTGTCCGTCTGTCAATCTATCGATCTGTCTGGATTCCACTGCTACTTAATTATATACACGCCTCGCAGCAATGGCCACAGCCTGAGGCGGGTGGCAATGCATGCGATTGGTGGGAAGCACCATTCGCCAAGAACCGGAACTGCACACGGAGGCTGTTGCACAAAGTGTCTTGACCGAGGCGACCGAGGGTTGATTGATCGAGGGCCGAGGGGTTCTCCCATTCAATCAATATGTAAATGATAGGTATAAATGACACTGAATGGATCTGAATGGTATACCATGATACTAATGGACAATGGTGGGGTGTTTGTGCCAGTTGAGTTGGCAGAACTTCAGACTCATTGGCAGATAAACTGGACTCCACCACAGAGCTTGCTACATGCGACAGTTTCCACCAAATCCCGATCTCATAAAGTATCCGGATGCACCCAACCATCCCAACCCCCCAAAGTGCTGCGCCATTTGGAGATCCAATACATTCAATACGCGAGTCTGAGTCACTGAGGTTGGAAATCCTTGAAATGGATGCAAGAGCCCAAGGTCACAGTTATTCTGAGCGCTTGCAGGCGGTCATCCTGAAATGATCCACTGGCAGGTGTGTCAAAAAATTACACCCCAAACTATGGCAGTTTTTATAGAAATTCAAGATATTTCAAGTGTGAGAAAGATGATGAAGAATGGTTAACGCTGGATTTTAGGGGTTCCTGCTTTTCAGACATACCCGTATGCTTGCATGACATTCAGTAAATTCAGTATGCAATTTACTTACAAAGCGCCAATTGACGCCCAACGGCCATTGACATGCATTACCACATGGAATTCCTTTCATTTAACTATACCCATGTTTGCCGTCGGCTTTGACCATCGTTCTGTTGATGGATGAGTTTGGGGGAGATCCTGCATTGGTTGGCGTTGCAAACATACACATAATTACGTAATAATCACTTTCTTCTCAAGATCATCCAGGATTTTCTGAAGGCATCAATAAGATTGGTGGGCCTTTACAATTAGCAAACGCTCACGCGCTAATAATATGCTGAAAGGGTAGTTGCTGCTTTTGTAGTCAAGAAGCCGGTAGAGTTGTGCTGGAGCGGGGTGATCTTACTCATTGAGCAGCTACAACTCTTTTTCACGATTTCTTCGGCTAGTTTTCTTCATCAACAAAACATCTCCGAGAGGCAAGACTTGTCTGCTGTCGAGTTGCTTGGCAATGTTGAGGCACAACTGGGAGGGGTCATGGATGGTTCGATGGTTCTGAAAGCAGCTGAACTGAGACCCGATGAATATTCAGATGTCTTCAAGTCAGGATTCTCTTTACCAGCTGGACAGATGATTCCAGGATCAACTAGAACCAAACTGGAACTAAGAATTCCCAAATCTTCCCAGCCTGGGTCCCTGGGTCTTTTCGAAAGGCTTAGAGCATTGCCGGAGTGTTGCCACAATCCTGCAGGACGGCATCAAAGCAGTCATTGCGATGAATCATCCAGAGGTGGTTCAGGCCACTGGAAGCGGTGGTTGCAAGACCCAGCTTCAGAGTCCTTTGGCATCCGTACTGATTGAGGAATCCGGGCTAGTTTTTAATTTTCTTGCAGACAGATCTACAATGTTTTACACTTCCGGAAGCAGGAGCTGATGATTTGAGCATGGAGAGAATACATGTCCAGCTAGCATAATCACCGTCATCACCCTTTATTCTTTCTTTTTCCTTCCCTGCCTTTTTTGTAATGTTGGCGGCTTGCAGTTTCCAAGCTTTGCGACAAAGCTCCCGATGCTTTCGGCGGTTCGGAAGAACGGGTGCGCCTCCTGTCAGTGACGGGGCTCTGGGCTTTTTGAACGCTCTAGATCTTGAATTTCCAAAGCTCAGAAATGGTGGTATGAAATGCGGCCGTGATGGGGAAAACCATACGTACAATACGATCCGTTTCGGCTGTGCTCAGACATCCATTTTGTCCTTAGATGTCCTTAGTGTTGTGTACGCTTTGAGACTGTAGAAGCTGCCTCACTCTGCACCCTTGAGCCTGGCCGACCGGCTTCGAATATTACTTCACAGAAATACTGGAGATGGAATCACTGAGCGCATTAATCTACAATGTGACTTTGGAAATCTGCGAAGGATCCTGGCTTCGCTTGTGGTATTTATGTTGCACTGCATCGCTGGCGCCAGGCTGCTGTTGCAATTCGCCTCGGCCCAGTTGCGTGAGGATTTTGAGGCCGCAGCGGCCAGCCCCAGCAGATCCAGCACCCTTTTGCAGCTCCTCAACGACTCAACGCCAGGTGGTTGATGCTGCGGTGAAGCAAAACCCCGAAGCACTTCGTGGTTTCCTCAGATTCTGGGAGATATATGGAGATGTATGGAGATGTATTCATTTTTCTTTATCTGAATGTATCTGAATCAAGTGTGCTTGTCAAATCTTTCATTTAAGATCATTTAAGCTTGTTTCGTGTAGACCAACCCTCCGCAGAGACCCAGGTTTTGCGCGAGGTGCCGCAGTGGCCAAGCTGAAGGTGCAGCAAGAGGCACCGACAAAGCTGGCTTGAGATGGGCATAGCTACGCCATTTCTTTGGATATGTGTATCTATATACTCCTATCATCCCCTATCTCTATATCTATTCTATATCTAATAATATCTAATAATATCTAATATTATATATCAAGATACACTGTATATTATACATGCACACAATTGATATCTATTGAAAGGGATCGACATGATGGATATGGGCCAAGATTTGAAACTCGGGGGACTGCGGACTTGATCAAGTTTGGGGCACACAATCTCGGCCCGTACACAAATGGGATCATAACACGTGGATCACTTGATATCAACGAAATGGGACGATGAAAGCCACCGTTGATTCTGGCCAATGCAAGGCCTCAACTGCTCCACCCATGCTCGTAGCACCAGCGGCAGCTACTCAGCAGGCGTGGACAAACTGCGGATGCTGTGGGTATGTCCCAAAATGTGATGGCGCCAAATCCAAACCTAGGTGTAGAATTTGCAACGGGAAACTGTGGTTTGGGGGTATCTCTTTTTCTTGGCTCAGCCAAGGCAGCTTGGGCTCAACCAATCAAAACGCAACGTTTCTCCCCCCGACGCTAGGCACATTTGCTACCATGGATGGCAGGGCGCCAGGAGCTGTTGGTGTTGTTAGAAAATTGCAGGGCTTTGTTCGAAGTTAATCAAGATTTGGTGGTTCCCAATAGTGGTATTTGGTAGTGATGTACAGTGTCCTTTCCTGAACCAAAGCAGTTTATAGCAACGGCCTTTTGAAGACAACAAGAGCTTGGACATTTGCACCGAAATGCACTTGATTGCACTTGACCTGGAGGATGCCTCCTCAAGTATCGAGTGGTGCTGCTGTGCCAAAGCCCTAGAGTCCACTGTTTATCCTCATTATCACCTGCTCAAAAGCATTGGGGCCAATGTCATCATGTTTCAATGGTAGCAAATTGCTCACCGGGCCAGAAGCGGTGTCAGATGTGTCAGGACCTTCTCAGTATCATATGCCCTGTAGACTGCCTTGTCCGAGGCTGGTGAAGATGAACGGCCCTTGCAGCAACTCTGAGACCACAGGGCTCAGTTCCTGTCAGGAACCCTGCATCGCTTTGTAGATTTTTGTAGATAGATTCTTAGGCTAGCACTGGTGATAATTGTCGCTGGCGTCAGTCTTTGGAAGCAGTTGATCTCCAAAGATGAGGTCACTGGTAGTTGTATCGAGTGATGGCCCAAAAATCCTTTATCTTTGGCCCGGTGGCAGCTGTGACGGTGGCCAGCTAAATGTAGAGTGGAATAAGACTTGCTTTGTAGTCCACTCGATAAGGTGAAAGGTCATCACGCCCAGAACTGAAAAGGCATGCTGTGAGTACCTTAGCAGAGTCAATCAGACCATTGAGTCCAGCAGCAGTGAAATCATTGACATTTTGCAAAGGGACACCCGTCATTTCCCTGTCGCCAGGGAATCTTGAAGTAACAGAATCTCATGGGAAAATTGTTGAAAGTGGTCATTTATCAGAGGTGTGGTCTCCTTTTCCATTGCGCAGTGCGACTCAGGTATGATACGGTATGCAGACTAGCTTACATCGCTGAACTTTCTTGCCGCCTGCTGTGCTTTCGGCCATTGACAGCGGGGAAAGGTCGAGGTCGTCAGGTCGCATCGTAACATTTCGTCGCCATGGATGCTAGTGGAGTGAAGTTGGCCAAGGCGGTGTTCAGCTTGTGCTTTGTACAAGACAGGAACATGCAAAGCGCATGTTTAACATGGTCATGGTCCCATCAGGTGGAGAAGATTCTGGGACGCACCGGCTCCCGTGGTGGTGTCATCCAGGTGCCACTGGGGCTGTCCGGGGGGCAGCATATTCCTGTTTTGAGCCTTTTTCGGCTTCAATATCAGGAATCTTCCGTGCTTCAGCTTTAGCACATTTTCCTCTAGAGGTAGAGAAGGGCATGGGAGTTTCTTTTATTATAAAGGGATTCTTCAGTGTGAGACGGTGGCCCTCCCCTCGAAAATGGTCGCAGTGTCAATTCCTGGTTTGTTCACAC